ATGCATTGGGAGGACCCTCCTCCCGACTTGGCTTTGCACCTCCTCCCACCGCCCCTCGCTATCGGTATCCGCGGCGTCCTCCCTCCCGCCCCGCGCCCGGCTCACCTGGCGATAGCCGCCACGCTGCCTGCTCGCGATGGCCGCCCTGCAGGAACTCGACGACTTCGCACTTCCAATCGGCGATTTCAGTGTCGCCGGGAATTACGCCGAAGCCCTCCTCGGCCTCGAGGCGTTTTGCCACGCGGGGGGCCACGACATCCAGGACACGGCGCTGCCGAACGTCGCTGTCTCGGCGGACGACAGCGCCATTTGTCGCACCGCCAGTGCGTCCTCCCTCAAAGCAGTCGTGCGGCTCGTCATGTGCACTCCGAGGGAGGGGGCCCCCCACGAATCCAACCGCCCGAGCCTCGTTCGTCCACCACGTAGGGCTGGCTGGAGTCCCAGCCTGACGAACGCGTCTTGGCGGCGACGGCGGCGCGCCTCCCGACTGCGGCCCCTCCGGGGCTGGCCGGCACGGGCCCCCTGGATTGCTGTCAGGTGTGCCTCGCGCTGGAGGACGCCGGGGTGGCCGCGGCCCTGGCGGGGCGCCGTCCGCAGGTGGCGCCCTCCTTCTCCCCAGGCGCCCCGCCCTCTGCTGGGGCTGGCCCCGCCGCGCTCGCCGGCGATGCTGCTTCCAGCGGCGGCCCCAGCCCGGGCCAAGGCCCAACCCGCCGACGTGCTCACCCGTGCGCTGCAAGTGCGTGACGCAGCCGGCCTGGCCTCGCTCGTCAACTGCCTCGTCGACCGCGGCGGCTGCCTCGACGAGTGGCAGACCTTCTCGCGCGTCTAGCGGCTAGCGGTCTGAACAGGCGCGGCGCCAGCCCTTCAAGTCCAGCAGCAAGCCCAATGACTTCTCCCATGAGGGTCTGAAGCCGCTTCCTAACGGGCCTCTGGACCGAGCAGGGGGGCCCGGCGCCCAGTCGGAGGGGCCTCCCTCCCGACTGGGAGGAAGCAGAGGCCCCGCTCGGCCAAGAGCAGCGGCGCGACTTCCTGGCCCACGGCCCCCGCCGCGAGACAGACCCCGCCGCTGGCGCTGCCGCCCAGGGGCAGTGCGCCTCCCCTCGGCAAGGCTCCCACGGCACTGCCTGCCGCGCCGGCCTGCCCTGGCTCTGTCGGCCCACCGTCCACCTGCAGCCCCCCCCGCCAACACGAGTGGGGCTCCACGCGACGGCGCCCCCGACAGCCGCGTTCCCCGCGCACCGCCGCGCCGGGGTGACTCGGCCAGGGCAGCCCCGCCAGGCACCTCAGGCCGCGCCAATCCTGGGGCATCGCGCGCTTCCTCTGCGGGGGCGCCGTGGGCTGGGCAACCTGGCCAAACGCCCCTGCCCGCCCGCGTAGACCGCACCCGCGATCTCGCTTCCCTCCAGGCGGCCCTCTTTGCTCTCTGCAAGGGCGAGCTCGTCAACCTTGTCAGCCCGCTGAAGGGCACCGCCCAGCAGCGCACGCCCGGCCACAGCGATTCCCCCCGGCTGTGCCGCCACTTTCTGGCTGAGCGCTGGATGGACATCGGCTTCCCGCCGCTCGTGGACGACGACCTCCCGGTGGCGTGGCACCGCTCAGCCTCTCCCGACGGCCCCGGGCGGTGCAGCCCTTCCGCCGCCGCGCGACTTCCCTGCCATGGAAGGGGGCGAGCTCCGCCGCAAGACCTACGCGCAGCTCCAGTGCAGGGGGCCCTGGCCTCCTGGGAGGCGTCGCCCGCCGCGGGGGCGAGAGGCATCGCAGTCGCCCTGCACTCCTTGGCGGTTCTTTCTCCACGACCTCCTGTGCGAGCCCTCCGCCGACGTCATCGAGCAAGGCGGCGCTTTTTCACTTTCACTGCGCCGCGCTCCCTCCGGCCACATTTACTCCAACCCAGGCCTCTGCGATGGGGAGGCCTCCAACCCAGGCCCTGCGATGCGATGCCGGATCTGCCTAGCCCATGGCCTAGAAGGTGACGCAGAGCCGGGGGCGGAGGTGTGTGCTGCACACCAGGCGCAAGCCCTTCAGCCGACGTCAGGCGACCAGCGCAGCTTCGGTGGCGGACGCGGCGCGCTCCAAGGCGTCCCTGGTGACATGCCCGCTGGACTCGCTGGTCAATTCGGGCCCAGTCGAGAGCAGAGGGCGCAGAGGGACGCGCCGTACGGGGGTGGCGCCCAAGTTGACGCGAGAAACACTTTCATCGACATCCCAGGCAAACGCCCTGGTCGCAGGCAGCTGAGGCGCAACCTCACGGACGGGGACGAGCCACGCGAGCTGCATCTGCAGGAGCCGGCGCCGCACACCAATGCTGGGGATGCGGTTCTCGCCGCGCACCTCGAGGAGCTCCACCTTGCCCCAGTTCGGGAGCGGCAAAGAGGGTGGTGTCCAAGAGGGGGGGGTGCAAATCATGACCGGCGGCATGTGCGCGGCCCAGCGGGGGGGCCAGGGACGTAATGAAATAAGAAGAGGCGCCATGAAATCTGCGGAAATATCATGCCCCCCG